GAATTGCCAGTCTGCTGTAAACAAAGCAGATTTTATTACTTCTATTACAAGTCATTTAAGACTAAACCTCATGGCCCTGACAGAGACGTGGATCAAACCAGAGGACAATGCTACACCTGCATACATGTTGCCCATTGGTAATATTATTAGAAAATACGGGATTAGTTTCCACTGTTATACTGATGATACTCAACTATATATCTCAACAAGACCAGATGAAACTTCTAAATGATCTTGCTACGTGTACTGCGTTAGGCTAACCGAGGCTTGTCATTTGCACTATTGTTATATATTGTTGCTCTTTTGTTAGTTTTGACTGCTTTTATTGTCCTCATTTGTAAGTCGCTTTGGATAAAAGCATCTACTAAATGATTAAATGTAAATGTAAATCTTGCAAAAAAAAATTTAAATCATGCTGGTCCTTTAAATGTAATGCAGGACTTCCAGTCCCACAGTTGTCATATAAAGTGCAACAATCGGGTTCCAGAAGTAAAAATCCCATTCACTTTCTTCATAGTGTGGAACTGATTTTTAACGATAACTGATAAATCTTTAAAGACAGACTTACTGTGAGCTACAAGGTTGTTAATCGATGGTATATGCTTTTGTTCAAGCCAACAGATCATGTTATTTAAACTTATTTTTAAAATAATTATGTTTAACAGCAGAATTCCTGGTGAAAACTACATTACCCATGATTCTGCAAAGAAATTTCCCCCAATCAGAGAATATTGCGCCAAGAGAGATCAAAATGACCACCCACTCTATACCTATCTATCCATATCTATAAATCTATCTATCCATGCATCTTTAAATCCGTAGTTCTATATTCCTCCATCAATTTTAATTCAATTGTCATTCGCAATGACTTATGGGACTGTAGTTCTTTCTCCCACTAAAACCATTAATCACACAGTCTTGTACCTTTCAGTCTTGTACCTGTTTTTTTTTTTTTGTCCAATTTTCAAATACTTTTTTGCTTCAAATCTAAGTTCGTAATGGTGCGATTTACCTTGTATTTGCTGGTTTGGTTCATAACTCTTTAACAAAGACTTTTTTTAAAGTCCTGATGAGTGAATGGGAAAATTGCTTCTGAAGCCAAGGCCGCTGAAAAAGTATGGCAGGACTGTTTCACTCTATTAAGCATTGTGATGCCACCATAAAAAAGCTGATTGACTCTTACAACTGTAAGGCAGAGTGCTCTTTAGTAATACCAAGGTAATCTACTACAGCTAAACACAGATACCACCATATTGTTGTTGGACATCATATCTGGCACTGAGGTTGGAGTTCAAACCCTCTCCATATTGCGCCAGCTCTTGTAGTTGCACTCTGCCCTAATTAACGTCTCTATTTGTGACTTTTTTGTTGTTTTATTTTATGCAAAAGTCATTAGCGGCATAATTGACTGGGTTTTAGATGTGCATGCATGCTCAGTGTAACTAGCTTCCCTGAACAGTCTTTCTGTTGTGCCTGCTTGTTTGTCTCTAAATGTGTGCTGGTCTGTCTGTTAGTGTGTGAGAGAGTGAGAATGAGAAAGAAAGGAAGAGAGAGAAGAAATTGTAGGAAATAAATAGCTTTCTTAATTAGGCTCTCCATTCAGTGTGTGGGTGGGTGCGTGCCGGAGACAGCGAGCGGCAGTAGCGTAAGACATCTGACATGGTCCTACTGATCATTAAGTATGTGACAGTGTGCACCTTGTCATCATGACTAATAAACTGACTAAACTACCATTTCTGAAGCAGACAGCAACAAGCACCATGGAGAGTTTCCATATTTAGTTGGCGGCATGAACAGGTCCTGCGTTAATAAAAACAGCAGAGCTGCTTATAATCTTAAAACGGGTATTAGCATGTCACTGCATCGTAATTAGAGCAAAGATGGGGGGAGGGAGGTAAACAAACACTAATGTTAATTTGATATTGAACTTAATAACAACAACAACAACAACTATACACAGTATTATACAGCAAAGCTAGCAAAAATGAGTGGATTTATGAAAATTTAAGGACGTTAACCTCTAGTGAAAACCAAGCAGCTTTCTTCTGTTCAGTGCAGCAAATTTGCGAAACATGAAAAAGCGTGAATTGCTATTGTAATGACTGGATTTCGGAGTGAAAATTTGCTGAACAACAGTAAACAATATGACCACACATTAGATGAATATCACTTGAAGAAATATAATGAGTTTCTCAGTGTGACCATGGCAGATATCTAGCTGAAGATGTCTGACTAATGACTAGTGTAGACTATTATCTCTGTGCGCTCAGTTGTATTGAATTTCCATCTATTCTCAAAGGAAAACCATTACAACATGTATGGTATGACTGACCAGTGCATCTTTGCCAAATTTGGTCTCTGACCATCATGGCCTCCTAATCATCCCCATATACTGATTGGCTTCATCACGCTGTCTGCTCTCCACCAATAAGCTGGTGTGTGGTGGGCGTTGTGGTGCAATATGGCTGCCGTCGCATCATCCAGGTGGTTGCTGCACATTGGTGGTGGTTGAGGAGATTCCCCCCTCCAGAAAAGCGCTATATAAATGTAACAAATTATTATTAATTATTATCTTTTATTGAGAAAGCCAAATCTGAGATGATTAATGGGGACATCGGAGGCCCATTTTTCACAAGTTGATATGATTCTTAAGGGTCTGCACAAAATGTCTGCAACATACTTTGGTTTAAAATAACTCAATGGTCGTGTAAAACAGCACATTTTTTACCTTGTCAAAAACAGCTCTGTTCACAGCGATCTGTTTCGGTGCATGTCTCTTTAAATGATAATGAACTACTGCTCACCCCACCCCTCTCTTCCATTTTTTGTGTATTCGGTGGCGCGTTACCATGAAAAACAAAACTCTCTAAACTCTGAAATAAACTCAACTCTGAACTCTGAAATAAAGCGATATATCTGTCATACAGTGTTTCCGTGGCTGCGGTGTGTCACGTGATAAGCATGACGTGTCGCCATGGAAACAATAAAAGGGAAACGTTCTAAAATAAAGGTCGCCTAAAAAAACTCACTCTAGGGGGACAGCTAGAATATTTTAAACTCACCAGTGAAAGGGTTAATTCTGCAGATTAATCAGATTTTTCTCGGCTATGAATGATTCTGTAGAACTATAATGACAAAGAATATACAGTGTAACAAAAACACAATTGTATATCTAAGGAAACCTGCTGGTTCCTGATGTTTTGTCTCACATGAGTCTTATCTGTGAGGACACAACAATGGCTGGAGAATAACTTCCCACAGAGACTCTTTTTATTGTCCCAAGGCACTGGCACCGAAGACAATAGAAGCAAGCAAACAAGCCCCTGGGGACACAACCAAATAAGACAGACAGACTTGTTTTTGACCTTAGATTGCATGAAATGAAACTCACAGTGAGTCTTAAAATGAGGCGGAGCTGAAATTCAAACACTACATAATGTACTGGCTCTCAAATATCCTCTTCACAATGATAAACTCTCCAAGCTGAAGCTACAATATACGATAAACATTTTTGAACAAGGCACTCATGGATATGATGAACACTCATAAATTATTCAAGATCCTGACATAAAAGACAACTTCATTCTGTTAGAGCTCTACCTTTGAATCTAAGCCAGGAGAAAATGTCTCAAACACCAAGCCTCGATCTATCAAACATTGTGCTAATGTGGCACGGCTGCCTCTTTGTTAGTTTTCGGGGTTAAAGAGCTTTGGAGCTTTCAGAAACTTGGATTTGATAGGTAAAACATCTTAAATCAACTAATCTTAGACAGAAGCATGTTTTGCATGCAACTCCACACTGCAATGGAGAGATAATGACAACTAGTAAAAACAAATTTCATCATTCCTGAATAACAATCAAGCACTTTTCCTCATAGGACCTGAGGGAATGCCTAGTGGTATTGCTATTTTCACAAGGGATTTGCCCATGAACTCCCAAAAACCATCTGGATTTATGCATCTTTATGATATCCATTGACAGCAAACACACAAAACAAGCATTCAAAGTAACATAAAGGTTTTATCTGGCATGTTTTGGACTGTTTTTCTAAAACACACTAGTAAAAAAAAAGCTGCACAAGTGTGAGACTCTCACAGTAAAAGATTATATGGGTGGTATTCTATATCACGCCACCTAAAACGTGCACTAAAGTGCTAACAATAGATGTCCCACTACCATTCCATCTAAACCAGTCCCACCTCAAATACAAGAAGTCTTCTTAAGCATAAGATAGTCTGTATTTTAAGCCTCCACTTTTCTCTTCAACATGCTGCAAACTCAGTCAACAACAGGATATTGATTGGAAACGTTTGACAATATATGGTATTGGAAAAGGTTTCAACAGTGAAAATATGGCAGTGCACTGGCTCCTTGTTTATGTGGGACAATTTCAGAGCATTTTGTAAACATTTCTTTTAGGTGGTCTGCTTGATTTTACTCAGAGAGTTACACATATACAATCATTATTATTTTGATATCCTGGTGAAGGCATTTGAGATGCTGGGGGGCGGAGGTGAATGGTCTCAATTTCTGAGTAAAAATATTTCAAACGGCATCTCTGCAAGTGCTCAGGTCAGTACACACTGTAAACAAAACTGTATGTTATATAACACTTTGCCACTGAGGCACTACACCGGTACAACTTTCTACTGTCTTTGCACCGTTATCTACCCTCATGCACATTAAGATTCGATTTTTGATATTTTTAGTAAAGTACCAGAAAGGATGTGAGAAGGCTACTTACCACGAGATACCATTTATATCTTTTACATTATATTTTTTAGAGAAAAAACTCTGAAATTAAAGCATAATTTCGAGTTTTAATGCATTGGAAAATAGGAATGAGTTAATTTGATGCATTTCATGTTGATTCAGCTTAGCGCTGAATCAGTCATCATCTACTATATGCTACAATTCTGTTTTTGCACAGTCAGAAGAGTGCTGCTCACCAATTCTTCATTTCAACAGCAATCTGTTGCATGTGACTTTGCCCTCTTACCTTTTGCTGTCGTCTTGCCATGTCGGTCGGCTGCTTCGCATTAAACGGATAGGCAATACAGCGCATCACAAAGACGTAAAGCTGAAGCCTCTTCTTTCTCTCTTCTTCCTCCCTTTGCATCTTTTCCAAATCGTCCTTTTCCTTCTCGATCGCCACTGAGGGGCTCGGGCTCGTTGGTCGGGCATTGGTGCTTCGGCTTGGCTGCAACCCACCAGAGCTTTCGCTGGTCCTGCTTGGAGACACCCGAGGACCACCAGCCTTGGGCGCCGCCACCACTTTGCGCTCTTCTTCCACAACCTCATCCGCCTCCTCCTCGCTGGATGATGGGTCCAACATTTTAATGTAAGTTCTTGCTTCTCTGAAATCAAAATTGAGAAATCAAGTGGCGTCTTTTTTTAGTAACAAAACATCCGTAACTCGCTTCAGAGGACGAAAAGTACGGAAGACGCTTATTTTTCCACAGCCTACAATCCAAACGCTGCATCAAAAGTGTCACTTACCCTCAGCACGAGTGAAAAAGCTGCTCCAACAGCCAGTAGTCTTCCACCGAATTAAATTGTTGCTGCTTACGTGTTTTCTTCGTTTAACTCTGCGTTTACCATAACGGATTTAATGGAAGATAACACGGGGAGGATCGTAAAAACAAACAACAACAAAATTCGCGGCTGTTGTTTTTCTGGTTTCCCCCGGCGGTCTTTCAATTGAGTACCGAACGGTATTAACAATATACTGACAATAATGAGAGCAGCCAGCGCGGAGAGCTGACCGTGGTTCTGAACTGAAGCTGGAGGGGGAGGGGGTCATTGACGTGGTTTCCGCGACAGCACTATCGCTGTTTCTCTTCGCGCACGATGTTCACCACGTTTAATCGACCGTTAACAACTACAGCAGTTCCTGAAACATTAGACAATCAATGTAATCTTTTTCATAGTATAGAACTTTAGGAATTTATCCATGACTTCCTTTTTACTGGTTTTACTTAGGTTAATCCAGCTGCACTGTTGTCTGTTGTTGTGTTTTTTCATACTGGTTTCCAAACCAGTTGTAAAATTATTCCATATTTGGCATAATTAATAATGAAAACATCTCACACTAAAACTGGTTTGTCACACACGGGCCAGATCTTAAGCCACATCTCACGCTAAAACTGGCTTGATGTGTGTGGGCCAAATCTGGCCAGAACTGAGCTCTATGTGCCATATTTGACCCAAATGAGGCCCGGAAATGTATGTTATCTGGGTAAGCAGTAACATTGAAAAAAAAAAAATGAAAAAAAAAAGTAATTATAGTAACGTCTTTGTTTCCATCCATTTTTTAAAAGATTTTATATTTTGGCATTTTTGCCTTTATAGGACAGTGTGATAACAGGAAGCGAAGTGGGAGAGAGAGCTGCCCACAAGGCTATCGGCACCATTTCCATCCATTTAAAAAGAAATTAATTTCTGTAATTTCTACTAGATTTTATGATATTATTTTATGTTTTGGCAGTCACTGGGCCTGTCCCTCACACTTGCACTCTTTGAACGTGAAAACTATATGATACGTATGTAAAGTTGTAGGAAATATAAGTAAAGTTTCTACGGAGCTTTATTTACACATTTAGAACATCAGTTCTTTCAAATAAACTGTCTGATCAGTAGTTTGTAGCACACACTAATGAAGTGATAAAAAGCATCAATACAATGTGCAGCACTTTACATTTTACTTCCAAATTCTATGTAAAATCTAACTGTAAAGTTTTCCTCAACATCACGTGATTCTGGAGCATGTGAGTTTCTTAACGTGATGAATGATGGCATACACTTATCCTCCGATGCTGCTCTGAAGTGGTATTAGAGATAGTGTATTAGAGATAGCATGGATTTAGTGGGCATAAAGGGCACTGGCATTTATCATGGGCCAGTCATTTTCACTTACTTCCTGTTGCTTGCACACACTCTCAAGTGGCCAAGACTGCAAGTTTTGATATTGGGATGGGCTCATTAAATTAAAACTATATAGTCAAAAATATAATTTATTATTTCAGGTCATAACCTTTTTTTTTTTCAGTGAATAAGAATAAAATGTCTTTAAAGCCAGAGGAACTGTTCTGAGCCATTTTCTAGGGGTTTTTAGAACAACTGTTTTGAATTTAAGACTAAATTCAAGTCAGTGGTTATTTCAACCAAGATCTATTGTAAAGCTGTGTAGCTAACAGGATCCTAAACAAAGACTACGATTACTTTACTTACTTTTACTTTTAGTCATTTAGCAGACGCTTTTATCCAAAGCGACTTACAAATAAGAAAAAGTAATTAAAACTAAAAGCTAAAACTCTATAGATACTATATATATATATATATACACATTTAAGAAAATAAAAGAAATTAAATAAAAATGACAAATGCATACAACAACATTTCAAAACTAAACATTTAAATGAAAACAAAACAAAAAAAAATAAAGCTAAAAACAATTCAAACAATTCAATAATAAAAAATAAAAAAAACGATTACGACAATGATATGTATTTGCTTGCTTAATTATACAACCATTGTAGTCCTTTAAAAAACTGCTGGAGGTATGACTGCATGTTGTAATTCAAGTAATGTTAACTACACACTTTATTTCACTCACAAATAAAATCTCATAAAAAAAATTCTAAGCCTTCTTGGTTGGCCTAAAAATGGACATCCTGCGTGAACATTGGATGATTAAAATACTAGAATTGTTACAATATTTTATTTGATGTATGGCTTCTGAGTGTACTGAATGTCTACAAATTCTCTGAGTGACTCTGTGTAATTGAATGTTAATCGCTATGGTCTTTTATGGTCTTTGGACGGGGAAGTCGTGGCCTAATGGTTAGAGAGTCGGACTCGTAACCCAAAGGTTGCGGGTTCGAGTCTCGTACCGGCAGGGATTGTAGGTGGGGGGAGTGAATGTACAGCGCTCTCTCCCACCTTCAATACCACGACTGAGGTGCCCTTGAGCAAATTGAGCTCCCTTGAGCTCCCCGGGCACCGCAGCATAAATGACTGCCCACTGCTCTGGGTGTGTGTTCACGGTGTGTGTGTGCACTAAGGATGGGTTAAATGCAGAGCACTAATTCCTAGTATGGGTAACCATACTTGGCCACATGTCACGTCACTTTCACTTTCACTTTAAACTGTTCCCTATCAAGGCAGGGTTGGCTTGAAAGCTTTTGTGATATGAAAAGAGATTAGATATGTTATTGTACAGATAGCCTGAGGCGGTTTTTCCAATGTAAATTATATATCATGTAGACCTGCTGGATCAGTACTCACTTAATACTATCAACAATGAATGAAGATTACATTAAAACTATGCAGAAAAAATCAGTTTGTGATGAACCACTCTTACAAAGGTTATTTGTTGATGTGTCAAAAGATGCAGCCTATGTTTACCTGGTTGAGAAATAGCTTAAAAGTTTTGCTGATCTAAGGTGGTCTCCTAAACTAAGTGTCCAAAACTTATCAAATCAGCCAAGATGAAACCATTATATTGGTTTAAGTTTTTGTTTAGTTTTTTACAGTAGGGAAAGCAAAACTAAAAGTTTGTCCAAATAATGCCTGCCACGTTACGTCCATAGTTTAATTAGCCTTTACAAGAAAACGAAACTCTTTGAAAGCAACAGGAAGCACAGCAGCTTTTTCAAGCTTCAGATAGTCAGGCGCTTTCGGAGTTTATGTCCCCGCCCACATTTGCATCACCGAACGTAAGGCCAGCGTCTCTTTCATACGTGCAGCCTGACTCCACCCCGTTGTTTCTGATACTGGACGATGCGACCTATCCGTGCGCGCCCTCACATACACAAGATACTGAGGTGATCGCGTTTCATTACATTTTCTCCTGGCATACCCGAAAGGTATTGAAAAGAAGATTATCGAGACTGGTGTCACGCGGCTCGGATCACATACATACCGGAGCGAAGCGACACCGTTTAGCTTTTACTTTGTCCTCGATGATGGCAGCCCAGGATTTCAATTTTTTACTTGCGACGGACTCTTATAAGGTAAGAATCGCCTGGCTCGAGTCGTTTAACAACAGAAACGCAAAGACGAATGACAGAACTTTGCCTGTTCTGACAGTAACGTTAGCCCTTTATGCTTAACCGTTACATATATGTGGGGATAAAACCAACTATGACCTTGTAAATCGATGAAATGTAAATGAAAACATGATTCAGAATAACCTACAGGTATGGCAAAATCGCGATTATTGTGTTATCTTCTTGTTTTGATGAGGGGAATCTGCGTAAACTCACGTTCGTTTTAAATGCCCCACTCATTGAACGCTAAACGCAGGGGGCGGGGCTTATGCGGAATGACCTCGTGCAGCTTTTAGCTTCGCCGAAGGCCATAGCGCGTGACGTCACGTCACTCAGTAATCTAGGAATCGAAACAAATTTTTTAGAAAACCACATAGTTTTATTTAATAATAATAATAACAATAACAACATCATTCCAAAGGACGTAATGTTTTACATGTTTTTATTATTCCTCATTTGTAAGTCGCTTTGGATAAAAGCGTCACCCAAATGTCTAAATGTAATGTAAATGTAAATGTACATGTACTGTTCATGTAACCTTAAATAAAATCTAAATAACTAAATCTCACAGTCTAGAAAACCAGTCACAGTAAAATTGGGCAGTAACCCATTTAACCCCACCTGTAATATATCAGTAATCAGAATTTACATATTTTAGTTATCAGCTATAAATGAAAGTGCTTTTATGTGAACTTTTTGCAAGGCTATTGTAAATAGTCACACGATTAGAGTTGTTTAAGTTCACTTTGACAGTCTGACCTTGTCAAAGGTCCAGGTAAGGAATCAGTTAAAACACGTAAAACAAAAGATAAAACTACCATATCTGAAGTAGCATGATTTGATATATGTAGTATTACAGAACTCTAAACTACTACTATCATGTAACAAGACACTTACAAACAAAATAGTTCTGTGTGTTTACAATTGTTGCATTTGCATCTTTTTTCAAAATCTGTTTTACCTAATGTTACGTTATGTAATACTGTGTAATGCTCAAAGCTTTTTGGGATGTGGCTGTAATTATTAAATGTCTTTAGCTGGGTTTAATGATCTTTACAACAGATTTAAGAATTTTACCTCTCTAATTCTCCACCTTGGCCAATGCTGACTGGCCAAAGTTGTGTAATTATCTTTGTGCTTCACATTAGTCTTTAACCTCTCACAAAACAACCAGCCACAAATCCCATCTGGATCTATGTTGAAATCTCACACAACAAAAATGAAATGTTAACGTGTTTTTGATCTTATAATAGGATAACTAATTGTTTAATGAGATTTTGATACCTGCCCATGTAGAATGCACTGTTGTTACACCACGCAAAAAACATTCCTCAAGTGGCACATAGAAATCTAAACAGGTTGCACCAGGTATCATTGATGAGTGACTCAGGTTTGGGTTGATGATCAGGTCCACTCAGAATTCCGCAGGAAGCTAAGCAGATTTCCTATGAAGTGGAACACCCAGCATTCATAAAATCTTTCACATCTTTCATGTCTTGCATAATTATTTTGGCCATTGTGTTAATTGCGTGCTAATTTGATCATGATTTTAATTACCAATAATAGTTTTTACAATTCAGCCCAGTTTAGAAGTCTACATAGAATTTGCAAAAAAAAAAATCCATAGCAGATTGTCTTTCCATACCTTACAAATCACATGGAAATTCTGTCTTTTTCTTTATATAAGCAAAATAGACTTTCAGGGTTGATCTGATAAATGATCTTGGACAACCAAACTAATGGAACATCACATGGACCATTATTTGTTTCTTAAGAAGCAGATAGAAATATATTTAATTTGTTTTGCTTTGAAGGAGACAGGACACAAAACTAAGCCCTCCATTATGGGCATCAAGAAAGTGGCCGCGTGTTGTTTATGCAGATTGTATCACTGGGCATCGAAGACCAGCTGCTCGTGTTCGAACGAGCCGTTTTAGGTAGGTGTGGCTAACTCTTAACTTTTATAAAGAATATCTCTTTGGATTTGAGACTTTAGTCTTTGCAACTTTACAGATCTTCTTTATGCACCAAGAGCTTGTAACACTCTAAAGAGAAAGGAAAAAATGAAATCGCATCATATGACCCCTTTAAATTTGTGTCCAGGATGTAATGGCAGGTTTGTACTTGTAAATCAAGACACTGTTTCAGCCCACCCCAGCTGTAGCTTGACGGTATCAGCATACAGTAAACAAGACTTTGATGAAATGCCATGAGATCCATGCACACAGCTTGAAGCTGACAGATTTACAAGAATGAGGAAGCAATGCAGTTGTGCATTAAAAATATAACAGGCCTGTAGTCTTCAATGTAATAATGTAACAGTGTAACACTCTTCATAAGTTTGGGATCAGTTTTTTTTTTTAAAGCAAGCAAGGATGCATTAAATTGATCAGAAGTGACAGTAAAGACATTTATAATGTTACAAAATATTTATAATTCTAATATATAATGCTCTTTTATACTTTCTATTGATCATACACAGTTTCTACAAAAAATATTCAGCACCACTACTGTTTTCTATATTGATAATAAAAAGAAATGTTTCTTGAGCATATTAGAATGGTTTCTGAAGGATGTGACACTGAAGACTGGAGTAATGTCTTACTCCAAACTTTTGAACGATAGTGTAATAATTAATAAAAGTACTGGGGCCTGTTTCATAAAACGAGTTTACCAAATAAGCCAGGTTTATTTCAGTTAGTCTGACGTATTGTCAGTTGATTTGGTTCAAAATAAGTCAGACTAACTGAAATAAGCCTGGCTTATTTGGTAAACTTGTTTTATGAAACAGGCTCCTGGTGAATTTGTGATTGTGTAAACAATTCTGATACTCAACGCTACTCTCTTCTTTTCAGATTACCCACTACAAGCAATACCCACCCAATGTCAGTAAAGTGTACTCCTATTTCGAGTGTCGGCACAAAAAGGGGGAACAGTATAACGAGGTGGTGTTTTTTGGCCTCCAGTATCTTCTAAAGAAGTACCTAGCAGGTAATTCCAACTACTTTCATCATTGTGTAACCCCTTCAGTGATCAGAAAACATTTGTAAAGTTCCACTTGGCTTACATAGACGTACTGTTTGTTTTTGAGTTTGTACATTTACAAAAACGTTTTTTTTTTCATGTAATGTCATTCACCTGATTGGGTAATGGAAAACTTGTCCCGAAACTGATAATAGCACACATTCCAGAACAGTTATAAAGGACGGGCATGCAGTCAAAACAAGCTGCAAGAGTTTAAAAATGTAAGATTTAAGAAGAAAAAAGTCATAGAGTTTTGAAACTATTCCTGGGTAAAAATGAAATTTGTAAACCATTCGTTCTCTGTCGTGTCATTGCAAAACTATAACTGTCTTGTGGAAAACAAAATAAGATATTTTAAAAAATCTTTTAGCTGTTTTTGTCCATATATTAAAAGTCAGTGGGGTTTAAACCAGCATTGGACCCATCTGACTTTCATTGTGTGGACAAAGACATTTTTTAATAATTTATTCTTTTGTGCTCCACAAAAGAAAGTCATACAGGTTTGGAATGACATGAGGTGAGACAATTCTGTCATTGTTCCTTCGAGGTTTATGCTTTTACCCATTTCATTTTTTATAAAAGTGGTCATGAACACAGACCAGCAATGTTAGAGAAAGTAAAAACAAGAAGACTACATTAAGTCCACAAAAACAACCTAGTTACATAAGGCTAATTCCCCTTAAGCTTCCCATTTCATTTAAAGTATTCCAACCCGGAAAGTGTGTATTTTGTGGTTTGTGTTTCAAACTGCAACCATGAACAGAATGTGTGAACGGCAGCAGTTTTTTTTTTTTCTGTGTCTCCACTGATTTAACGTTTCTTTCCTGCCAAAATCTTTGTACTCACTCTTAACACAATGAATATTTTATTAAATTTTAAGACATTGCACTGTATTGCATTCTCCCTGAAAGAGGTCATGGCTGTTGTAAACTTTGCATTTATAACCACAGAGAAATTGACATTTGATAATCGTTACTGAACAAAACTGTGCATTTACTGTATCATTAAATGGCCTGCTAGTTTAGTATTTACATGTTGGACATGTTCAAAAGAGCATATGCTTTATAAACAGATCTTAATATCTCTGAGCTCATGTATTTATATAAATATCTTGCAGGTCGAGTTGTCACGGAGGAAAAGATTCAGGAGGCAAAAGTCTTTTATCAGATGCACTTTAAACAGTCAGTGTTCGATGAAGAGGGATGGAGGAAAGTTTTAGAGGTACAAACAGAAGTTCATATCAAAGTCAAAGTTTCTTTTCAGATATTTGACCATTACATGACTTTGAAGTCTGCTTACTTTGTTCCGGAGATGAGTGCACATGGAGATAACGACCACCTGCCTTCTTCCTTTTCCTAATTGTGTTGTCAGAAATATGATGGCCGCCTTCCAATCCGTATCAAAGCAGTTCCCGAGGGGAAGATCATTCCCAGAGGGAACGTTCTTTTCACTGTGGAGAACACGGATCCAGATTTCTTCTGGCTCACCAATTATATTGAGGTATTACTTGTCCTCTTTCATATTTGCTTTTTTTATACAGAAGCCAATGCAGATATTGCAAATGGTATAAAAGTAATTTAGTCGTTCTGCAATGTCCAAATGAATGTTTCAAAAATTGTTGGAAGAACACAAATAAATAAATATTTACAAAATAATACATACACTACTGTTCAATTAGTACTTTTATTCTCCAAGAATGCAAATTTTGTTTTCAAATAAATGCTGTTCTTTTTAACTTTATAAAGCATTCTAAAAAATGCATCATGGTTTTCAAAAAGATTTTAAGCGGTACAACTTTTTGATAATAATGAAAGGTTTCTTGAGCCCCAAATAAGCATATTAAAATGATATCTGAAGGATCATGTGACACTGAAGATTCAGTTTGTAATCACAGGAATAAATGACATTTTAAAACATATTTAAATAGAAAAGTTATTTTAATCATATTTTACAATAATACTGTTTCTACTGTATTTTTGATCAAATAAATGCAGTCTTTTTGAGCATAAGAGACTTCTTTTAAAAATCTTTTGAAATAAAAATCTTACAGACCCTAATTGTTGAATGGTAGTCTAATCTAAGGACAAAGTCCAAACAGCATTTAATCAACCTTGAAAAATGTTGCGAGAAAAGGGATGTTACTCAAAGGGTCATATCAAACTAAAGCGAGTTAATGATTTCCTTCACAAAGGGTGCTTTCAAAGCCGTTATTAACGGATCCCTTTATGATCATGTGATCATTACATATTTTTTTCATGTTTTTCACGTTTGTTTGAGACACTACACAATTTGAAATGAGCCATATCTAGTACAAAAGTTTTTTTAACAGCAGCACAAAGCCCCCCTGAATGTCTGACTGTCAGAATAGTCCGTAAACCTGATGGTGCGGCACATTACTTCATATTGGATGATTCTGCCGTACTGTTGTTCAGGATGACAGCAGGCTTTGATTTCCAGCATGCTCCTAGCTGCTAATCCTGGACCAAAAACTGAGGGAGGTTTGGACAGGCTGGTGGGGTCAGTGAGGTACTGACCTGGCCTGCAGCCCTGCAGAATCCCACAGCAGCTCTTACTGTTGTCATTATGTAGACAAAGTGTTTTTCTGGCTACCAGGTCTAAAGATGCATGCTTGTAATCCATGATGAACATTGTGATTGATTCGTTTTCCTAATATAAATAAAAAAAACATAAAGGTTGAATATTTATATTTATATTTATTAATGCATTTGACAAACACTTTATTTTAGACATGTTATATTACATACATGCATTTCCTGGGAATCAGGCCTGCCACTTGGCGTTGAAAGTGCCATGTTCGACTGTTCCACTGGAACATTGTAGTATGCAATATTTTTTCATTACAGTTCCTGATAGTTCCATCACAATGAGATACAATGTAGTTTTCCAGATCCTTCGCTCTCTCTGATCCTCAGTGGTAGAACAAGCTTACAACCCCCTCCTGACTTGCTAAGACCATCACAAACATCAAAACCTTTAAGAAGCAGCTTAAGACACTAAGTCTTCCATAAGAAATTAAATTAAACTTGCATCAACCACAATCAATGACACTTTTCTTTTAGCCTTTGTCACTTTTACTTACTGTACTCTTGAAACGTAATGTTGCAGTACTGTACAGTACAGTATTATTGGTTCTTGTATGATAATTTGCTCTCCCTCAATGATGTCCCTTGTTTGTAAGTTGCTTTAGATAAAAGTGACTGTTAAGTAAATGAAATGTAGATGTCCTTGAGCAACGCACTTGTCTTACGTGTCGATTGTCCCTGTAATGAACTGGAAGTTGCTTCAAATAAAAGAGCTTGCTAAATGACTGCAACTTGCAAAAGAAACTACATTTATGCTTATGATTATTTTGTGTTTGAAGAACATGCACTAGTATGTCAACAACATGTTTAATACCTTAAAATAGTGTCTTTTATTCAAGATACCACAAACAATTTAAGCCAAACCTGATTGGAACATTTAGATCCTGCCTGTTAGCCTGTTGCTTGAAAAGTCCTATTGGCATTCGGTCAGCTTAATCAATGTGCACAGTTTATGTATTGATGTCAAGACTGGAGGAAAACATGTAGAACCACACAAACGGTTCAGAATTCTTTGTCTTTGTCAGTTCCTGATGTGCACGTCCTTAAGGGGCCACAGATCAATGAGTTGTGGTTTAAATGGTTAGGGCTATGAAAATTGTGAGCGCAATTACAAGCCATCTTTAGTCTTCTCTGACGTACATGTGATTGTGTACATTCTGTCCACATAGACAATGCTGCTCCAAATGTGGTACCCCATCACCGTGGCAACAATCTCCAGGGAGTTCAAAAAGATTCTGGCCAAGCACCTGAAGGCCACGTCAGGGAGCCTGGAAAGTCTGGACATCAAACTACATGATTTTGGCTACAGAGGGGTGTCCTCACAAGAGGTATGATGGCCATGGATTGGTAATTACACTTCCTGGTCATTACAGTGTTGTTATTGTTAACTAAAACTTTTGGTAACACTTTAGTATGGAGCATGCCTATTATTAACATATTGGCTGTTTATTAGTACTTATAAAGCACATATTCTGCATGACCAGATTCTACATACCTAATCCTATCCAATACCTAAATTTAACAACTACCTTACTAACTATTAATAAGCAGCAAATTAGGAGTTTGAGGCAAAAGTCGCAGTTAATAGCGAGAATTGGACCTTCAATTAAAGTGTGACCAAACTTTTAAAAGTTATTTTCAGTAATTGACATAAAGCTGAAATTTAAAAAAAATATATATATATCAATATTAAATGAAACACGTAAACTTAAAAAAAGGAACATAAACGATAATTAAAAATGTTGCCTAACCAACTGAAATTAATGTTTACGCTGCAGTACTAAAATTAGAAATAACAATTAATTGATGCTATATGGATGCAGTATTTAAAAAAAAATAAATAAATAAAATGACAAGCACACAGCAAAATCACTAAAGTATCAATTAAAATTAAAATGTAAATATAAAAATAAAAGGTAATTTATATTAATAAATACTATAATATTATATAAAAACACTAAAATAACACTGAATCAGCACAGTGAATATAAGCAGTATTGTGTGAGATATTTAAAGCATTGCCCTAACACCATTCTGTTACAATGTTTTGTTTTACCATGGTACCTTGCTAGTAATTCTGGATTTGTGTTTTCATAACCAATTAGTCTGTTTTGTTGTGTTGTGTGATTGATACTTACAAAAACACAATCTTTTATGTTTTATGACTCTTAAGAGACTATATAGAAAGCTAGAAAATAACTGATTGTTCATGATTTTTCAGTGTTTTCAATCACTGATTGCATGACATTATTTTACCCTGAAGTTCTCATTTCTGTAGCCATTCACAGCACATTCTGAAGAACACTGAAATAGTCAAACAGGAAGTGCCTCTGGTGTTAAAATCTCTACCTTTATTCTTTTTTTAGCCTTGAAATCAAAGCTCAAGCCAAACGTGGTCTTTCTCTCTTCAGTGCTTTTAAAGAAAGCATGGTCTCCTGGGGCAAATGAAATCAGACATTACTTGGTGAAAGCAGAAAATCGATTCATTATGAGACAAGGCCATTCTATTTAATCAAAAGAAGATCAGACCTGACCTTTTGAAATGCAAGCAATGCAGTGTGCTAGGGTTGGGCCGATAGACGATGCCATCGTCCATCACTGATGGCTGACAGACAT